GGGATACAGCGCGCCGCCACCTGCGCCCCGCTACCATTTTTGTATTTTTGTAGGAGACGGGGTTTCACTCGTAGGTGCTTCCATCTCCTGACCTTGTGATCCGCCCGCCTCAGCCTCCCAAAGTGCTGGGAATTACAGGCGTGATGCCACCGCGCGCGGGCCTTGTAGTTGTGTATTGTTTGTGAGTGTATGTGTAATTTTTGTGTTGAGCAGGGAGTCGCGTCGCTTAGTCGCCCAGGCTGGAGCCAGTTGGCGCGATCTCGGTCACTGCAAGCTCCGGCCTCCGCCGGGTTCAGCCATTGCTCCTGCCTCGAGCCCTCCGCGAGTAGCTGACTACAGCGCCGGCCGCCTGCGGCCCGTGGGCTAGAGGTTGTTTTGCATTTTTGAGTTAGAGACGGGGTTTCGACCGTGCTTAGCCAGGAATGGTCTCCGATCTCCTGACTCGTGAGTCCGCCCGCCTCGGGCGCGCGCTACCAAGTGGCTGGGATTAGACAGGCGTGAGGCCGACGCACCCGGGCCGTTTTGTGTTTTTTGAGTAGGAGATGGGATTTCACCGTGTTAGCCAGGATGGTCTCGATCTCCTGACCTCGTGATCCGCCGGCTTCGGCCTCCCAAAGTGTTCGGATTACAGGCGTGAGCCACCACGCCTGGCCTACACCATTATTAGTAGTATTGTTTACTAATTCAACAAATATGTAGCAAGTGCCTGCTACATGCAGGGTACTTTCTAGGCACTGGACAAAACATGCCAAGACCCTTCCCTCATGGGGTTTCTGTTCAGGCAGGGGAGAGGGACAATAAACACAAGGAAAGAGTAAATGAAGTATCATTGGAAGGTGAAAGATGTTATGGAAGAAGAAAGTAGAGTGGGGGAGAGGATGCAGAGGAAGAAGGATGGACTGGGCTGTCATTTTAAATAGAGTGGCTCTATTAGAAGGCCGCATTAGAAAGTGGCATTGGGGTCAGGTATGGTGGCTCATGCCTGCAATCCCAGCACTTTGGGAGACCAAGGTGGGTGGATCACTTGAGGTCAGGAGTTCGAGACCAGCCTGGCTAACATGGTGAAACCCCATCGCTACTAAAAATACAAAAATTAGCTGGGTGTGGTGGTGCATGCCTGTCGTCCCAGCTACTCGGGAGGCTGAAGCAGGAGAATCGCTTGAACCCAGGAGATTGCAGTGAGTGGAAATTACACCACAGCACTCCAGCCTGGCGACAGAATAAGACTATCTCAAAAAAAGAAAAATAGGCCGGGTGCAGTGGCTCACACGGCATCCCAGCACTTTGGGAGGCCGAGGAGGGCAGATCACCTGAGATTGGGAGTTTGAGACAGTCCTGACCAACATGGAGAAACCCCGTCTCTGCTAAAAATACAAAATTAGCCGGGTGTGGTGGCACATGCCTGTAATTCCTGCTACTCGGGAGGCTGAGGCAGGTGAGTCGCTTGAACCCGGGAGGCGGAGGTTGTGGTGAGCCAAGATTGGGCCACTGCACTCCAGCTTGGGTGACAAGAGTGAAACTCCATCTCAAAAATAAAAATAAATAAATAAATAAATAAAAAGGAAGTCTGGCAGGGAGGGAGACAGATGTGCCATATCTCAGGAAAGGGTATTTACACAGAAGTAGCAGGCCAGTGTGAATTTCTTTAGGTGGGGTGGCTGGAGTGGAGTGAGCTAGAGAAAGTGACAGGGGTGGTCAAAGGTAAAGCGGCCAGATCACGCAGACCGTCACCAGCCATTGTGTGCTTGGCTTTCACTCCAAGTAAAGAGAAGCTATGGCAGGGTTTTGAGCATAGAAGCAACACAATCTAACTTATATTTTGGGTTATTAGTCTTTTCTTCTTTTATTATTATCAGAGACAGGGTATTGCTCTGTCACCCAGGCTGGGTTAGCCTTTAAAATGTAACTCAGGGGCTGGGCATGGTGGCTCATGCCTATAATCCCAACTCTTTTAGAGGCTGAGGTGGGAGGATTGCTAGAGGCCAGGAGTTGAAGACCAGCCTGGGCAACACGGCGAGACCCCCATCTCTACAAAAAAGTTTTTGAAAATTACCTGAACATGGTAATATGCACCTGTAGTCCCAGCTATTGGGGAATTTGAGGTGGGTGGCTGAGTCCAGGAGATTAATGCTGCAGTGAGCTACCATTGCACCACTGTACTCCAGCCTGGGTGACAGAGACCCTGTGTCAATAATAATAATATATATATTTTTTTGAGATGGAATCTTGGTCTGTCACCCAGACTGGAGTACAGTGGTGCAATATCGGCTCACTGGAACCTCTGCCTCTCAGGCCCAAGCAATTCTTGTGCCTCAGCCTCCCGAGTAGCTGGGATTACAGGAGTGCGCCACCATGCCTGGTTAATTTTTTATATTTTTTGGAGAGAAGGGTTTTGTTATGTTGGCTGGGCTGGTCTCGAACTCCTGGCCTCAAGTGATCCACCTGCCTTGACCTCCCAAAGAGCTGGGATTACCGGCATGAGCCACCACTCCCGGCTTTATATTATTAAAATAAAGGCTAACCCCAGCTGCGTGGCTGAGTATAGACTGTAAAGAACAAGGGGAGAGAGGGGCAGAGAGAATTCAGTGCCGAGGGTAGCAGTGGTGGTGACAAATGGTTGGATTCTGGAGATACATATATATCTCCAGAATATATATATATATATTCTGGAACTCCCGGGCTCAAGCAAGGCTCCTGCCTCCTAAGGTCCCTGCTCAAGCGAGGCTCCTGAGGCTCCTGCCTCAGCTTCCTGAATTCTGGATGTATGTATGTGTGTATATATATATATAGAGAGAGAGAGAGATTGAGAGAGAGAGAGAGAGAGAGCGAGCTTTGTTTCCTGAGGGGTTGGATGTGGAGTATGAGAGAGAGCCAAGGATGGCTGGAGGGTTTTGAGTCTGAAAAAATGGAAGGAATGAGCTGCCACCAACTGAAATGGGCTAGGCTGCAAGGGAACCCGGTTTGGGAGTGGGGGAATCAGGAGCTCATTTTTTGTTTGTTTGTTTGTTTGCTTTATTGAGACACAGTCTCTTTCTGTCGCTGCCCATGCTGGAGTGCAGTGGTGCGATCTCGGCTCACTGCAACCTCCGCCTCCCAAGTTCAAGTGATTCTCCTGCCTCAGCCTCCTGAGTAGCTGGGATTACAGGTGTGTGCTACCACGCCCAGCTAATTTTTATATTTTTTTGGTAGAGACGGGATTTCACCATGTTGGCCAGGCTGGTCTTGAACTCCTGGCCTCAAGTGATCCATCTGTTTTTGCCTCCCAAAGTGCTGGGATTACAAGCGTGAGCCTCTGTGCCCAGCCTGGAGTTCAATTTTGGATGTATTAAGATATAGATGCTGGCCGGGCATGGTGGCTCACACCTGTAATCCCAGCACTTTGGGAGGCCGAGGTGGGTGGATCATGAGGTTAGGAGTTTGAGACCAGCCTGGCCAAGATGGTGAAACCCCATCTCTACTACAAATATAAAAATTATCCAGGCGTAGTGGTGGATGCCTGTAATCCCAGCTACTCAGGAGGCTGAGGCAGGAGAATTGCTTAAACCCAGGAGGTGGAGGTTGCAGTGAGCCAAGGTTGTGCCACTGCACTCCAGCCTGGGTGACAGAGCAAGACTCTGTCTCAAAACAAAACAAAACAAAACAGCAAATACTTGTACATGAAAGTTCATAGCAGCACTATTCGTGACAGCCAAAGGTGGAAACCACCCAAATGTCCATCACCTGGTGAAGGGCTATGTAAAATGTGACATGTACCCACGCAATGGACTATTATTCAGACATAAAGAGAAACGAAGGCCTGCTGTGTAACAAAGGGTAGATGAACCTCAAAAACATTATGCTGGCCAGGCACGGTGGCACATGCCTATAATCCCAGCACTTTGGGAGGCTGAGGCAGGAGGATTGCTTGAGCCCAGGTGTTTGAGACCAGTCTGGGAAACATGGTGAAACCCCGTCTCTACAAAAAATACAAAGATTAGCCAGGGATGGTGGCATACACCTTTAGTCTCAGCTGGTTGGGAGGCTGAGGTGGGAGGATCACTTGAGTCCAGGAGGTTGAGGCTACAGTGAGCTGAAATTGTGCCGCTACACTCCAGCCTGGGCAACAGAATGAGATCCTGTCTCACAAAAAACAAAATTATGCTAAGTGAATGACGCATCACAAAAGGTCACATATTTTGTGATCTCATTCATATGAATTGTCCAGAATAGAGAAATCCATAGAGACAGAAAGCAGGTTTGTGGTTGCCTGGGGGTAGGGCCGGGGGAATGAAGAGTGAGTGCTTAACGAGTATGGGGTATACCATGAATGTACTAAATGATTCTAAACTGTACCCTTCTTTTAATTTATTTATTTTAATAGTGATGGGGGGCCGGGCACAGTGGCTCACACCTATAATCCCACCTATAATTTAATAGTGATGGAGGCCGGGGCGGGTGGATCACCTGAGGTCAGGAGTTTGAGACCAGCCTGGCCAACATGGTGAAACCCTGTCTCTACTAAAAATACAAAAATTAGCTGGGTATTGTAGTGGGTGCCTATAGTCCTACCGTCCTAGCTACTTGGGAGGCTGAGGCAGGAGAATCATTTGAACCCGGGAGGTGCAGGCTAGAGTGAGCCGAGATTGAGCCATTACACTCCAGCTCGGGCAACAGAGCGAGACTCCATCTCAAAACAAAACAAAACAAAACAAAATAGTGATGGGGTCTCACCCTGAGCTCAAGCGATCCTCCCAGCTCAGCCTCCCAAAGTGCTGGTATTACAAGTCTGAGCTACCATACCTGGCCACTATTCACTTAAAAATGATTAACTTTATGTTGTGTGAATTTCACCTCAGTTATAAAAAGAAAGAAAGAAAAACAGAAAGCTCCATGGAGAACTTAATACGAGGGCCCTGGGTCCCAGCACTAGTCAGTGACTCCCACTGCCGTTCTCTGTGAGGCCACGGGTCGGTGGACTGTGACCAGCTTTTTTTTTTTTTTTTTTTTTTTTTTTTTTACAGGTTTTCCACCTGGTACAAGAAGAGTGGCCCAGAGAAAGGTCAGTTTAAGGCAATTGGATTTCCCAAGTCTCAAAGCAGGAAATCTGGTCTGACAAGCACGGGATTCACGTCTGAAATTAGCCCTGCCCTGGAAAACCTGTGGCTGGGGGTTGCTGTCATTAGAAAGAACCTGTACTTCCGGGTTTGTTTTCGTTGGGAAGGAAGGAGCGGAGCAGCTAACCTGGCTTCGCAGAGCTTCCATATTTAACCCATCAGGGCCCGAGGCTCCCAGGTGTAGAAGCGACTTTAGAGGTACCTATGAGGAAATGGAAGCTCCAAGAAGGTAAAGACCTCTCAGGCCACAGAGCCAGTAAATGGCTGAGCCGGGGTTAGGAGGAAGGAAACTAACATATTTATAGCACCTGCCCTATATCCAGCGCCTCACCTTGCAAAGCAGGTGTTAGTAACCCCATTCTGCTCATGAGATTCAGAGAGCCTTAGTGACTGGCCAACATCACTGAGCTACTAAAAGGCAGAGATACTATTAAAACATAGGCCTACAGCTGGGCATGGTGGCTCACAGCTGTAATCCCAGCACTTTGGAAGGTCGAGGTGGGCAGATCACGAGGTCAGGCATTCCAGACCAGCCTGCCCAACATGGTGAAAACCTGTCGCTATTAAATATACAAAAATTAGCCTGGCAGGGTGGCGTGTGCCTGCAATCCCAGGTACTCAGGAGGCTGAGGCAGGAGAATAGCTTGAATCCTGGGGGCGGAGGTTGCAGTGAGCAGAGATTGCACCACTGCACTCCAGCCTGTGTGACAAGGTGAGACTCCATCTCAAAAACCAGCAAACAAACAAAACAAAATAAAACAAAACAAAACAAAAAACTTGCCTCTTCAACAATCTACAGTTCTTCCTGGGCCCTTCTGCCATGCTCATCTGTGTATCCCTCATGCCTGATACTGAGGAGTGTTCAAAACTTATTTAATATCAGGAGGTTGAGGTGGGAGGATGGCTTGAGCCCAGGAGGTCGAGGCTGCAGTGAGCCTTGATTAGACCATTGCACTCTAGCCTGGGCTACAAAGCAAAGCCCTATCTCAGAAAAAAAAAAAAAAAAAAAAAAGAGGCATTTAATGAAAGAATGAATGAATGAGTCATACCTTGCTCTTCCCACTCTGTCGCACCTCCATCCAGATTCACTCTGTTCAAAGTTGATAGATGTTCTGGGGCTTTCACATAGTTGTCATAGCAACTGAACTTTTAGAACTTTTAGAAATAACAGCTGCAGGCAATCCAGGACAAAAACAGTGGACCTGTTTCTTGCTAAACAGGTTATGGCTCTTCTGTCCAAGCTGACAAGGGTTAACACAAAGCAGCAAAGGCTAGAAGAGATTTCCTAACACAGCTTTACGGTTATTGGCCATTGTTACTGACCAAGGACCCCTTTGTTTGCCCCAACACCACCACCTTCACCACAGATCCATGTTTTAGAAAACATGTCTGTTGAAAATATCTGCCTTTAAGTGTCAACTAAACTGTAACTCCTCTCTTTACACATCAACAATTTTCAAGCTACTATCAGAGCTTCGTATCAGCAGGAGATCACCACCATTACCCCACTGAGCTGATGGCATTTTAGCTCAAAGCAGGAAAACTTGGACCATTTTATTTTGCTAGTTAGTACAAGCCTGTAGAATTTGGGCTTCTTGAAATATTGAAAATACCTTCTTAAGACCATTTCTAACAAAATTAGAAATGAAATGAGAAAATAACCATAGCTACAAAGAACCTTAAAAGGACTGTGATTATTATACAAATAAATGAGAAAGCCTGGCCAGGTGCAGTGGCTCACACCCGTAATTCCAGCACTTTGGGAGGCCAAGGCAGGCAGATCGCTTAAGCTTAGGAATTGGAGACCAGCCTGGGCAACAAGGCGAAACCCCGCCTCTACAAAAAAAAATACAAAATATTAGTCGGGTGTGGTGGCGCACGCCACCTCCCCAGCTACCCGGGAAGCTGAGTTGGGAGGCTTGCTTGAGCCCAGGAGGTTGAGGCTGCAGTGAGCTGTGATCGTGCCACTGCACTCCAGCCTGGGGGAACAGAGAGAAAACCTGTCTCAAAAAAAAAAAAAAAAGATTAATTTGAAATAAAAGGGAAGACCTACATTTTGACCCAGCAATCCCGTTCTAGGAATTTATCTTACAAATCTATTTGTTGCCTAAGCTAGTCTTGAACTCCTGGGCTTAGGCCTCCCAAAGTCCTGGGATTACAGGCATGAGCCACCAAGCCTGGCCTTTCAGCAATTATTATTTTAGTATCAGATACCTTTCAGGTGCCAGGAATACAAATCGGTGAACAAATTGGACAAAACCAAAACAAAACAGCAACAAAACCCCTTGCAATCTGGTGGTAGGAAACAGACAATAAACATAATCAAAGAGTAAATTATACATACTGTGTTTGAAGGTGATGATTGCTATACGAAAAAATTTGAACAGGACAGGGAGATTGAGAGGGCTGGGTAAGCCTCTTGGAGAAGGAAGGCAGAGAGGAAATGAGCCATGTGAATATGGGTGATGGGGAGGAAAGGGCAAAGTGCCTGTGGTAGGACTGAGCCTGGTGTGTACACACAAAAGGAGTCATGCACAAGATTTCATTACAGTAATGTTGGTAACAGCAAAGGATTCAAAGTCTAAGTATTCATCTGTAAGGGACCAATTAAACAGGCTGTGGTACATCTACCAATGGAATACCATGCAGTTATACAAAAGACTAAGGAAAATCTATGAAGTGTGAAAGAAAGATCTCTGGAATATATTGTTTAGTGAAAAAAAGCAAGAAGCAGAATAGATTATATGGTATGCTAACTTTGTGTTAAAAAAAAGGAGGGAAATAAATATTATAAAGATGCCAATTATTTCTCAATTAATTTGTAAATTAATTGTGAGATCCCCCAAGACACAGAAAAGCTGGTTTTAAGGACAAAGAGAATTCATAGCTGGGTGTGGTGTCTCACAGCTGTAATTTCTGCACTTTTGGGAGGCTGAGGCAGACAGATCGCTTGAGCCCAGAAGTTCAAGACTAGCCTGGGCAAGTCTAGTCTCTACAAAAAAAAAAAAAAAAACAACCAACAACAAAAATCAGCCAGGCATGGTGGTGCGTGCCTGTAGTTGCAGCTACTTGGGAGGCTGAGGTGGGAGGATTGCTTGAGCCTGGAAGGTGGAGGCTGTAGTGAGTCATGATCACGCCACTGCACTGCAGCCTAAGCAACAGAACGAGACCCTGTCTTGAAAAACAAACAAAACCAAAAGCACTAAGGAATTCTTAAAGAGAAAGAAGGGAACTAGCCCAACCAGATATTAAAACATATTAAAAAATCATTATAATTAGGCCTGGCACAGTGGTTCATGCCTGTAATCCCAGCACTTTGGGAGGCTGAGGGGGCGGATCACCTGAGGTCAGGAGTTTGAGACCAGCCTGACCAACATGGAGAAATCCCATCTCTACTAAAAATACAAAAAATTAACCAGGCATGGCTCATGCCTGTAATCCCAGCTACTCGGGAGGCTGAGGTAGGAGAATCACTTGAACCCAAGGAGGCAGAGGTTGCAGTGAGCTAAGATCACGCCATTGCACTACAGCCTGGGCAAGAGTGAAACTCCATCTCAAAAAAAAAACTGTTATAATTAAAATACTTTTGGGGGGAACACAAATAGACAAGATTAATAGAATACACAGTCCTGAAACACACCCAAATACACAAAGGAAAGAATGGATTATGCAATAAATCATTCTGGAATATTGAGTAGCCATCTGGAAACAGTGCCTTTGTATCCTTCCTGCATTACCTACACTAAAATAAGTTTCAAAAGCCTCAATGATACACGTCTAAAACATGAAACCATAAAAGTAACAGATTTAAAAAAAATTATAATCTTGCAGTGGGATGGGCTTACTTAAGCATGACTCAAAACTCAGAAGTTACCAACTCTGACCACAGTAAAAAATTTAAAAATTTCCATGGAAAAATAATAGTCAAAAGACAACAAACTGAAAAATAATATATGCAACAAATAAGACAAATTTCTGGCCAGGTGCCATGGCTCACACCCGTAATCCCAGCACTTTGGAAGGCTGAGGTGGGCCGATCACTGTAGGTCAGGAGTTCCAGACCAGCCTGGCCTACAAGGTCAAACCCCCTCTCTACTAAAAATACAAAAGTACGTCTGGGCGCTGTGGCTCATGCTTGTAATCCAGCACTTTGGGAGGCCAAGGAGGGGCGGATCACCTGAGGTCGAGAGTCTGAGACCAGCCTGACCAACATGAAGAAACCCCCATCTCTACTAAGAATACAAAATTAGCCAGGCGTGGTGGCACATGCCTGTAATCCCAGCTATTCGGGAGGCTAGCAGGAGAATCTCTTGAACCCGGGAGGCGGAGTTTGCGGTGAGCCGAGATTGCGCCATTGCACTCCAGCCTGGGCAATAAGAGCAAAACTCCGTCTCAAAAAAAGAAAAAAAAAAAAAAAAAGTCCAGGTGTGGTGGATGTGCCTGTAATGCCAGCTACTCGTGAGGCTGAGGCAGGACAATCGCTTGAGCCCAGAGTCTAAAAAAAACGACAAATTTGCATAAAAAGGACTCCTAGGCCAGGCATGGTGGCTCAGGCTTGTAATCCGGGCACTTTGGGAGGCTGAGGTGGGCAGATCACTTGAAGTTGGAAGTTAGAGACAGCCTCAATAACATGGTGAAACCCTGTCTCTACAAAAACTACAAAAAATTAGTTGAATGTGGTGCCATGTGCCTGTAGTCCCAGCTACTCCATGGTGGCAGGTGCCTGTAAACCCAGCTACTCTGGAGGCTGAGGCACGAGAATCGCTTGAACCTGGGAGGTGGGGGTTGCAGTGAGCCAAGATCATGCCACTGCACTCCAGCCTGGGCAACAGAGTGAGACTCTGTCTCAAAAAAAAAAAAAAAAAAAAAAAGTCCTGTAAACTGAAGTGCAAAAGAGCAAAATCCTATAGCTGGCCAGGTGCCATGGCTCACACCCGTAATCCCA